GGGTCCAGTTTCAGTCTTCTACAGGTTGCCAGCCAGTTCACCCAGCACCATTTGTTAAATAGGGAATCTTTTCCCCACTCAATGTTTTTAATCGAATTAGCCTCTTTTTTGCTTTTTAATCTTATTTTACCATTTAAATTAAATGTTGAAGAAATCTTAATTATGATGAAACTAATTTTTCTTTCGACAGTGACATTGTGAGGAAGATTGATCAGTCTGAATTTGAAGGCTTTGAGTATATCAACCCGCTTTTGATGTCTGCAGAAGAATGCGTCTGACCCTCCTTTTCATCTGTGTGTTCTGCTTCTGGGGCCATTTAATGCATGGGCAAACCTGTTACCAGGCTGGATACAATTGACCATTCGATAGTTGCCGCCTGTAAGAAAACACGCAGTATCTTCTGTTGTAGACTGTAAGAATCAATTATCACATCTAAGTTTATGAAAAAGAAATTAAAACTAGCTTCTGGACAATCATGTCAGAGTTTAGTTATGCTGGTTTTTCAGAGGCCTACTGATGAGTATTAGTTACCTTTTTTGTTTAAAGGAAATAACCACAGCTTTTAAAAAAAAGTCTCTTGCATTAAGGCATGTAGTGGGATTATGTCATAAACTTCCCATAAATTTTACCATTTGAGAGTTTAATTTTGGATAAAAGTTTAATTCAAAATATAACAATGTTTTATATTATCTATTAGTTTTGGAGCTTTTTATGTTTAAAAATTTAGCTATAAAATTTATTACCTTGGATAAATTACTGATTTTATTTTATTTTTTTTTTGAGACAGAGCCTCAGGCTGTCCCCCTGGGTAGAGTACTGTGGCATCACAGCTCACAGATACCTCCAACTCCTGGGCTTTAGCAATTCTCTTGCCTCAGCCTCCCAAGTAGCTGGGACTACAGGGACCCAGCACAACACCTGCCTATTTTTTGGTTATAGTTGCCATTGTTGTTTGGCAGACACCCAGGCTGGATTCAAACCTGCCAGCTCTGGTGTATGTGGCTGGCACCTTAGCCGCTTGAACTACAGGCACTGAGCCAAATTACTGATTTTTCAGGCAGTAGTTATTAAACTGGTTATAAAAGATGTTTTTTGCTTAGAATTGGGAAATACAGATTCTTAAGTTAAAAAGTAGATGCATTTTATTAAATTTTTGGAAAAGCGGTACAAATAATTTTTTAGTAGATTAAGGGGCAGCTTCTGACCTTATCTATTTATCAAAAACTTTAACTGGAATGTTTATATATATATATAGTGCACGAGACCCAGGTGCAGTTGAATGGAAAATTACTCAAGAAAGGAAAATATAAACTTTACAGAAAAGCATAATACTACTTTTATTTTTTCCTGGATAGTGACCCCACAGTTGCTGTCGTGCTTTGGTTCACAGAACAAGGAGCTTGTCGCTGGGCTTGCAAGAGTGCCCTGTGTTCTGTGGACAGAGAGTATATGATACTTTTCCTTATAATTTAGTATACAGGAAAATAATTTATTTTCTAAGTAGAGTGTATTAACTATGCTTATTTCTTCCCCGACTGTGGTGTCTGTACTTTGGGGCCCTGTTTATGGAGCCTTTAATAAAGTAAATGTGAATAAATGTTCAGGACACACAGATACACGTCACAGCTGTAGCACCCTGAGTGTTAAGTGGGTACCGCATGTTGCAGAGTTCACTTCAGGGGCAGAGCTCTTCAGATTATTTTGTGTTAATGTTAGTGTTGATCAATTTATTATTTAAAAAGGTGCTACATACAGCATCCTTCTGTTGTTTATTTTAAATATCTTTTTTTTTCTTTTTTAAGGAAAGGGACATAAAATGTAACCATCATCATTATGTACAATTGTTCAGTCTTAGTAAAATTTAATTTTAGGGATATTATCTGGTCTTAAATTTAGAATGATTTAAAGTGTTTAAATGTTTGATTTTTGTTTTCCTTTTTGGATGCTGCATTTCATTAGAAATATATTTTTCCCAAAGTTTTTGGCCATGTACTCTTTTTCCTTCAAATAACTTAGGTCTGAAAGCAGTGAAAACCTCAAAAGAATATGTTTATAGACATCCACACTGCTTATTTAAGAGGTGTGTATGTTTCTCTCATAACTAGACCTTATTTTGAAACAAAGTATTCACTTCAATCATAAACTTACAGAGAATTCTGGCCTCAGTGTCAGAAGCAGGTTCATGGGCTCTCAGCAGGCGTCCCCTCTCCATGGGGTGTGGGGGTGTCCAACAGGTGAGTTGCGGCCCCTTACTGCCTACGGGGCCTTTGGACCTCACTCTAAGAAACACTTGCTTCAAGTCACTCTGTCTTTTGTCTTGTAGTTAAATATTAGCATATTCGTAGTAAAACATTTTGAGAAGGGGTAAGCAGTGAGTTATCCACAATTTTACATGAATGACTTCTATAAATTAGATACCTATCTTCCCCACACTCCAAAAAACCTGTTATTTTTACCAATAATGTACAAAATGATGAGCATTTTTCTATGAGGTTTTAATCATTATTCAGAGTAGTAGTAGTCTTTTGTTTTTGAACCTTTTTTTAACTAATAAGATTTTCAGTGTATATTTTATACAAAAATGCATTATAAATATGTTTTTAATTATGTTCTGTTTTTTGCAGTCCTTAAGTGCCATGCAATTGTTTTTATATGTGGAATTGTATAAAAGTTCTCTCAAAATACTCACCAGGGGAATAGGCAATGGGTGGTTAGGATGGTTGGAAATTTTAGTGTTCTAAGGAAAAAATTATTTTGCATAACTATGTGGACAGATCGTTGTATGTATATGCAGCCTGGACTGGTTATTAAATACTACACCGGTACGTTTACTTTATAAACTTGTTTTGGTATTTTTGTCACGTGGAATACTTTGGCCATTATAATGTAATTTTTATTTGTGTATTTTTTTTTAACTTTAAAATCTTCAAATAAAATGTTTAATAAACATCAAGAGTAGACCATTTTTACTATGTGGTATATTGGAAATTTCTGTAAGAACAAAGATACTTCAAAATTTGTTCAAGAAAAAGAAAAAAGTTCAGAGTTTGGGGCCGTTTCAGTGAGTGGCTCACACCTATAATCCCAGCACTCTGGGAGGCTGAGGAGGATGGATTTGCCTTATCAGGGGTCCTCAAACTTTTTAAACAGGGGGCCAGTTCACTGTCCCTCAGACCATTAGAGGGCTGGACTGCAGGCCTCAGGATGAGTTTGCTACTAGCAGGACAGGCAGTGGCAGCAAAAACACCCATTGGGCGGGATAAATGTCCTAGGCGGGCTGCATGTGGCCTGTGGGCCATAGTTTGAGGACACCTGCCATAGCTCATGAGTTCGAGACCAGGCTGAGCAAGAGCAAGACCCCTGTCTCTACTAAAAATAGAAAAAATAAGTCAAGAAGATCGCTTGAAGCTCAGTGCCCGTAGCACAGTGGTTATGGCACCAGCCATATACACTGGAGCTGGCGGGTTCAAATCCAGCCCAGGCCTGCCAAACAACAATGACAACTACAACCAAAAAATAGCCGGGTGTTGTGGTGGGCATCTGTAGTCCCAGCTACTTGGGAGGCTGAGGCAAGAGAATTGCTTAAGCTCAAGAGTTTGAGGTCACTGTGAGCTGTGATACAGCGGCACTCTACCCAGGGCAATATAGTGAAACTCTGTCTCAAAAAAAGATCACTTGAGCTCAAGAGTTTGAGGTTGCTGTGAGCTTTCACTCTACCAAGGACAACATAGTAAGATTCTCTATTGTATTTTTAACTCACCCATTGTTCTCTTCTGTTAGAACATAAATTAGTTAAAACATCAGCTGAACATAAAACATTTTAGCTAGTTTTAAAACTGCAGCAGATGTGACAGATGAGACTAGATTGTCCTGCCCTGTATCCAGTGATCTGCTCTGAAGCCGGGACTTCCCTTTCTGGGTGGTAGCTGACAGCATCTCCATCACAGCCTGGGTCCTTCGTAAACGAGTGTCAGCCTTGTGTCCACACACACAGTCCTCATCATCATAACCTGTTTTCTTCCACAGGGAGAATGAAATCTTCAGTGCCTTTACTTTTTTCTTAATTGGCTTGTTTGAGAACAAGATTTTAACATACTTGTCTCTGTACCTCAAAACCACCAAAGGGTGGTCTCCTGTGCTTCTCTGTCATCCTCTTTTCAACTCTGCTTAAAAGAGAGTTATAGGCAGCACTAAGGAAGTGCTTTTCAGGCTGGTCTTTGTATCACATCATAAATTTAGTTGTTTTCTGTAAGTTAACAAAATACTAAAACAGAGCCCAATGAGGAACTTGAAGCTTTGGGAAAATTTTGCACTAAGGCAGCTTCTCTGTAAGTTAACAAAATACTAAAACAGCCCAATGAGGAATTTGGGAAAATTTTGCACTAAGGCAGCTTCTCCCTGAAAGGTAAAGGCCGTCCCTGGTACTTGATATTCAGCAGCCTGGTTTCAGGACAACCCAACTGTGGGTCGTTTGGTGGATCTACCATCCTTTCCTAGATCCACTCTCCTCTGCTATGCGACTTAAGAGGTCAGGCAAGATCCAAAAAAATTCCAGAATATGCTGGAATTTACTGTGCACTATGCTAAATAAGGCTAGTAAAAGGACAGAACCTCTGCCCTTGACATTTAACTAAGAAGTGTTCATCTCCAGAATAAATTGGTGATAAAAGCAAAGTAAACACAGTAATATGCACCGTATGTGGTCACAACGGTTTATCAGCTTCACTAACAAACTCTGCTTGACCTTAACATTGTTTTGTAGTTGGTCCATGCTAGACATTTTGCAGACGTACGGTAGCATCCACCGTATCCATCTGGGTTCCTAAACACACAGTAAGATTAGAATCTTTAGATCACTCCCACGCACACATACACACTATGAGGTTGTTTTGGCTGTTGTGCTGAGAAATATGAATTGGATTTTGCATAGATTCAAATAGAAGAAGAAATGTTTAGATGCTTCCGCTTAGAGATTCTTCACATTTGGACTCTGAAGTTTATACTTGAATCCAGCTCATAATCTGAGGACAGCTTTTGGGTTTGAAATGTAGACGTGCATTCCCAGCATGTGCATTTTATTTTTATACTAATTAATACTTTTATAATTTTTTTTTTTTTTGGAGAAACTGAAGTTAAAAGAATCTAAAAATTAAGTAGCTGTTTAGTGTGGTCTTCATAGGACATCTGAAAGTTAGACCCATGCCAGACGGAGTCAAGCTTCATGGACAGTTTAGTTGGCCAGAAGCAAATCCTAATTATTTAAGAAAGCCTGGGCTTTAGCAAAATCCTTGCAAAATCACATGCTTTGTTCTTCCATAAAAGGGAAGTGCTGGTGGTTTCTAGAGGAAGGGCCACATAACCTGATTCAAACCTGCACCATAAACTGTCTGCATTTATGTGGGGATCTTTTATATTGTGCCTGATACATGGGGAATAAAATCAACGTAAATGGAATTAGATGCAAGAATCTGACATGCTCTGGCCTTTCAGAGAAATGTCTCTAAGTAAAAGTTTTTTGTAGGCACTAGGTTTTATTTACAACATC